TCGGTGAGTAACTGTCAACAGATGAACAACGAAATTCACTAGCTTTTATTTACAAGTGCTGCTATCTTCACGTTGAGGTCGGAAACTTTTCAGACCACCCTCGTATTAGGGCGTTCGCTTTGGGCGCTTATGCGCTGTAAGCGTCATTATATCTTCTTTCCACATGTAATGAACGATAAAGATAGAATGACGCTTACAGCGCGTAAGCGCCCAAAGCGAACGCAGCCTAGGTCTGTTCGTTTTCGACTTCTCAACTTCTCAACTAGTGCGCATCAGTGCAGTAAGTTAGAGCGAAGGAAAGTATATTTGTTTCATTCTGACCTGCTGCTCTGCATTGATGCAGAAGGCGTTCGGAAACGAACAGACCTATTTATAAGCGAGTCCATCGCGCCATTGTCGATTAACGTCGATCTCGTGCTATGCGTGATCCGTACTCGTTTCCATTGCAAATGAGACGACGTCTATGTGTGCGTGCGCATGTTCGCGCCAGCGTGTTTGCTTCGAGTTTGCGTCGGGTTTTGTAAATAATATCGAAGACGGATAGGTTATTTAATTAAGCAAATTGTGCGAGGCTGCACTCGGCGTGCGCGTGCCAGAGCGAGTCTTCACGTGCGAAGTCGTGAGGAAAACGTGTAGAAACTGTGCTCGTGTGTGTGAAACTCAAGTAGAGAAATTCTGTCGTAGTAAAATTGGTCAAGAGGCGATTCGCATTTGGAATTTCTAATGTGTTTCTTGTGTATTCTTTACGCGTACAACCAAAACATGAATTCACAATTTCTTCGTCGTCCACAGTTTTTTCTGTGACGATTACCTGAGATTTAATATATTATATATACACAGAAAAAAAGATTGGTTGAATTAACCAAATATCTGGTCGAATATGAACGATCCAGAAATTTCGATAAGTAACTCGAATTCTGTTTAAGTCAACCAAACATCTTGTTAACTTAAACAGAATTTGGATTACTTCAATCGGAATTTCTGGATCGTTCATAATCGACCAGATATTTGATTAATTTAACCAAACCTTTTTCTCCGTGTAGGGTATATTCCGCGAAGTCCGATTGTTAATATTTTATATTGAAGTGCTATCAATATTAACATTTTTCATGAAAAGTTCCTACATTAAATAACATGTTTGTTTATAAAAATTCATCAAGATAAAACTATTTTTTTCTGTTAAATGTTTTTTGTTTAATTAAGTGTGACATTTTTATTTTTAAAAAAGTCCCACACACAAACCAATTACAGCAAAAAAATCACTGTCTTCTACATTATGAATTAAATAAGCTATATTTGTACATATTGAGGAAATCTATTTCTCTGAAATTTAGAAATCACGTAATTAGAAAACTTTAAATAATAAGAACAATTGTCATTGTAACAGCAGCGTCTGTTCCCTTATTTGCCTTACTCTCTCTTTATTTTTTCTTATTTAGTTTTAAGAGTTTTGACGTCTTTTATAGAAAAAAAGTTCGTTTACATTTTTTAATTCAGTATTAACAAAACTAAGAAACTCCACGAAATTGATAACCATGTGAAGAATCGTAGATATGCGAATACAGTGCGAAATTACCATGTAAGATTTAAGGGGTCACTACTATGTAAGAGAATAATGCTATTCTTCATTGGGCTTACTATCAGCCCCTCTTCCTTCTTTTGAATTCATTTTGTTCTAGACAAAGTGTGTAAAATGTCATGGACGACTTTTCGTGTTGTTCGCTTTTACGCGCTGACGCATCTCTGACGTCATACGCATATCCAATAAGGTGAGACTAACATGGTAGTACCGCGGATTATCAAAGAAACGTGTCGTCAATGTAAAGTGCACGCTTGTTCTCTTAGATCTGCTCGTGAGATACGAAGCGTTTGTCGGCGTGACGATCGCTTAGATTTTCTGGGATTTCGAAAGAAGAGAAACAGAGAAATGTCGAGGATCCGCGGAGAAGAGAGAGAAAGAGAAGTGTCAATTGAAGAACATCTTCATGAAATAATTCGAGGCGTGCAATCGACAAGACGAAAACGTAGCGATATTCGTACTCTGTGTGTATATACTATAGTATGTGAGAGAGAAAAATGCTTACAAAAGAAAAAAGTATTTTTCAGTGAGTATTAATAACATATTTCCTTATAATATATATATATTTTTACATAGAAAACAAATTCTTTTTTTTCAAATCAGGATATATATATATATATATATATATATATATATATATATATATATATATATATACAGAGAGAGAGAGAGAGAGAGAGAGAGAGAGAGAGAGAGAGAGAGAGAATAATATATA